ATTGCTGTTTTTTGAGGGTTTTTTTTTCTTTGTCTTTGTCTTTTTTTGGAGATAGTCTTACTGTGTAGCTCAGGCTGGCCTCAAACTCCTCCGTGATTCTCCTGCCTCAGGTTACCTACTACTGGGAATTCAGATATGCACCACTGCATCTAGCTGTGAAATATTTTCATCCCTAAAAGTAAGCAACTTCCAACCCAGTTAGCCTTGGTTTGGTCTTGGTGTGTAGCAGCTGTTGGATGAGTTTTTTTGTTCTCTTATTGTTTAAGGTTTCTTTTAGTAATTTGTAGTAATTTATCCTCAGTTTCAGAAGCTGTGTCTTCACATTGATCGTTTCTATAGTTTATTTTTATACATTTTTTTAATCTTCAGTATTACTTGCTGACTCCTTTTGTAGAGTCTATATCCTTGGTAAATGTGTCATTCATGTTTTGAAACATTTTGGCAAGCTCTTCCAAATTTTGATTTCTTTCATATCCACACTCGTCACTCAGTATGTTAGTTCTGTTATATTTCAGCTTAGGTTCTCTTTGTACCTGCCCAATTTCTTTACCTTTTCCTGTCAGTTTTCTGTCAGTTTGTACAACTTCACTTCCTGGCGTTTGTTTTCCTCTGCACTAGTCTCCTGGGATCTACCTTGGGAGAGTTGGGAGACCAGGACACCTCGGGGTTTTTTTCTCCCACGTTCCTTTTGTTTTTTGGTGCTAGGAGTTGAGGACAAGTAAAGTGAGGAGAGACTGTAGTTACCATGAAGGTCTTTTTAGTTAAATTCTACCTTACAGTGATGTGTTGAAGACTTTGCGTCTGTATCAGTGATGGCAAATTTTTTTTAATTTTTGCCTTTTTGATACAGGGTCTTGATATACAGTTCACCTGGCCTTGAGCTCACTTTGTTGCTGAGGCTGATCTTGAATTTGCAATGATCCTCCTGCGTCAGCCTCCCAATTTTTGGGATTACAGGTGTGAGCCACCATGCCCCACTGGCAAACCTTTTAGAGCTCTCATGAAAACAAACAGCTGGCTACAGCTGGTTTGCTGTAGGTTCACCATCACTGGTCTCTACTATTCTGATACTAGCGGTTAGTCTACAGTGTGGGGGGAAGAAGGGGTAAGAGAGGTGAAAATCAGTCAGCAGGAGGAGAGGTAAATAGGAGAAGTAATATGTACAATTACTGGGTAGGGGTCAGCCATTATTGGAGATCTTTTATAGTTGGAGTTAAGGGAAAATGTGAAAGTCTTACGAGGGTGAGGGGTAGGATGTAGGAGAAGAGAAAAATAGTTCAGGATTGAGGGAAGCTATGAGGTTGTCAGAACCTGCTGATATATTTGTGCATCTAAAAAATGGGGAAGAGGCACAGGAAAAGACAAGGCGACAGGTAGGATAAGAAAGAACGAAAAGTAGAAAAGGATACAAGGTTATTATAAAAGAAGATAAGAAAGGCAGAGAGAGCAGAATATAGGGAAAAAAACTTAAAGAATTTAAAACATACAAGAAATAAGGAAAAAATACAAAATAGTATTGATATAGAAGAAAAAGGAATGAGGTATTGGGGACCACAAGTTCACAGTGGCTAATTTTGCGTATTTCCTAAAGGATAAATGGAGGTTTGGGATTATGGGTAGATATCACTCTTTTGAAATTTCCCATTAACTTTTTAGGGATGGGTCATCCTTTTCCACCCACTAAGACTAAACTAAGATTAAAAAACACTCCAGGGCAAGGTCCTTAGCATGGGTCATCTACTTTGAGTCATCCCAGGATTATCCATTGCCTGTGGAGCCACTGAGTTCTGAGTCTTCTGCCGACCTTGTGTCTAGCCCTCCTATCATTATACACACCCAGTAAATAGTGGCAGACTTGGGGTGTCTTGGTCTTTGCCTGTCCCAAGGCATTGATCTCTCAGCCCTACTTCATGCTTCATGCATTCCTTTCATTAGTAAGTTTGTCTATGCTTCTTATTTCTTCCTTTTACCATACCTGTTATATAGGCAGTTGGGGATCTTGACCAGGTCCCTAATAGTGGGGAGAAGAAAGAGAGCAAAGAAATAACCACTGTATTCTCTGAACATTTTCAATGTGATACCTCCTCTAGCCAGAATGTGGGTCCTCTTGACTGAATGTCTTGGTGAAGTTTTATCAAATGTTCAGTGCTATTACTGAGTACTATGCAGCAGAAAGGCCAGCTTTTAAAAACATTATGCTATGTCCTCACTCACCTTATTCACAAGAGCTGGCTCCATTAACTTCTGGCTCTTCCTCAAAGTCAAAACAACTATGACAAATCAACTTTGTTTGTTTTTGAGACAGGGTCTTGCTGTGTAGTCAGGCTGGCCTTGAACTTACTGTGTAGTCAGGCTGGTCTTGAATTTGTGCAATACTCCTGCCCCAGCCTCTCAAATGCTGGGATTACAGGATGCACCATCACATCAGGCCTAGTATTATGTCTTTTATAGCAGATTTTTTTTTTTCTTTTGGTACCAGGAATCAAACTCAAGACTTCCCACTTGCCAGGCAGGCACAGTGCCACTGAACTACATTACTGGTCCTTTTACAGCAGATATTAAAAAATTTAAACCTCATGTGTTTTTTGACTGTTATCTTGTAAGTGCCCTAGCTTACTAGTTTCCTCTAGAAGAACTCTTGCCTCCAGATTACCTCTGTCTATAAAGAGCTCGTTTGTCTTGCTATCTGTTCTTTGCAAGTGGAGGCTATTTTTGGTTAAGGTTAATGACTTGTTCTGACCTGAATTACTCAGGCTACCTTATTAAAGAAGATGTAGCTACTTACTGGTAGAGAAGTCTCTGATGCTCTGTATATTTGTGCCTGCTCCTACTGGGCTTTAGTGGCTCCCCCACTTTCCTGCTTTCTTTCTTTCTTTCGGTGCTCCCTTCCCTCTGCTCCCAATGTGTGTGTGAGGTTTGTTCTCACTCCATTCCCTGCGCCCACCCTGTTGTGGAGCTTAAACCTGGACCCTTCACTCGCAGGCAGATGCCTCCATACTTGGTTTAAATATACTGATTCTTTAAAAAACGTTAATTTTTATACATGCTTACACTACATTGAGGAGTTGGTACATGTACATACCACATCTTAATGCTTTTTCAACCCTTTCTCTCTTGAGATTCTTCCCTTTTGCAAAAGATTTATCTCCTAGTTTTTATTGTCTTTTTATATTTTAATTTTTTTGGTAGCAAGTTTTTTTTTTAAAGGTAGGAAAATAAAACAAGCTCCGCAGAGCCAAGTAAAAGTAGGAAAAAGTAGGAAAAGAAGTTGCACCCTGCAGTGTGAGGGTGGGCCGCCATGAAAGAGGGAACACAGTGGCCTTTATTTTAAACACACTGACTTTTAGTCTGTATCCTGTAATTGCTGAAATTATTAAAGTTTTTTATTTTTAATGTGCAGAATCTTTAGAGTTTTCTATGTAAAATATGTTACTTGCAGAGATAATTTTTCTTTATTGTTTCTTTTGGTCTGATTGTTCTGCCTTGGATTTAGTACTGTATTGAAAAAAAGTGGCAAGAGAGGGCAACTTGCCTATTCCTGATTTACTACTTAGTGTGAGTTGTGAGCCTTTTTTATTCTGATTTCTACCCTTTCCCCGCTTTTTTCTTTTGGTTTCTTGAGAAAGGGTCTTGCTATGTATCCCAGGATGATGTTGAACTCATGGTGATCCTCCTGCCTCAGCCCCCAGAGTACTGGGATTATAGGCATGTGCCACCATGCCCAGGTAGTTGTGTGGGCTTTTCTTATATAACCTTTGTTATATTAAGATAGTTTCCTTGTATTTTATGGTGGTTTTGTTTTGTTTTTTGGTGGTACTGAGGATAGAACCCCGGACCTCACCTGTGTTGGACAAAAGCTCTACCACTGAGTTACATCTCTGCCCCTTCCCCCTAATTTTTACTTTGAGATAGGCTCTCATTGAGTTGTCTTGGCTGGCTTTGAATTTGTGAGCCTTCTGCCTCAGCTTCCTGAGTAGCTGGGATCAAAGTTATGAGCAACCATTCCAGGCTTGTTGAGTATTTTTATCATGAAGGGTAATGAATTTTATGAAATGCTTTACTGCCTCCTTTGGAATGACTGCATGCTTTTTGTTCTTTGTTCTGCTAGCATGGTGTGTTATGTTTTTTGTTACAGTGAATCATCCCATTTGGTTACAGTGTATCATCCCATTTGGTTACAGTGTATAGTCCTTTGAATGTGTTGTCCTTTTCCTTTGAAAGACTTCACTCCAAACTCTCCTTGACTTGAGGTTTTGGGCTGGGAAGTCAGCTATGATTCTGATGGGCTTTCTTTTATAGGTGATTTGTTTCTTTTCTTTAAGCTTTTAAGATTCTATTCTTGTGATGAATTTCTGGAATCTTGACTATGACATTTCAGGATGTCATTTTCATTTGTCTCCAGTCTTAGATGTGTTTTTGATGTTAAAGTTATGTGGAATATAAAATGGTTATTAGGGGAATACAAATAGGGGAAATAGCATATTTTGTTAAAAGTAACAACCTAGCATAGATTTCTTATTTTTAGGGTTCTGTTTGGATGTGCTCACAAAAAGGAGGGATCCCCACACACAAGAAGATCCTCCTTGTGCATTGAGCAAGGAGCAATGGGTAAAAGAAGAACCTAGCATTATAGCTAAGTCATGGTGGCACAAACCTGCAGTTCCAGTACTTGGGAGGCTGAGGCAGGTTGACTGTCCTGAATTTAGAGCTAGCCTGAATTACCTAGTGAGGAGTATGCAGTGATATTCTATCTCTAAAAACAAAAAACCAAACCAAACCAAAAGTCCAATTATGGTAGATACTTTTGTGATCAACTATCCTCTGAGCACAAACCACTGAGGTCATCTCTATTCTGAGCTTTTAGTCTTACAGGAGGACAAGATGAGGCCAACAGAAACTTCTCAGGAAGAGAAAATTAGTGTTTAGGAGCAAAGTCACTTTAACCTTCTGCTTGAGTTATGTAGCATTTACTTTAACAAAATACCCTCTTCCCCCACTAGGCACAACACTATCACTGGGCGATGGCTAACCAGGTTTCAAGCTGTTTGGGACCCTAAACAAGAAGACTGCATCATTGTCGGCAGCATGGCCCAACCCCGACGGGTGGAGGTCTTCCATGAGACGGGAAAGGGGGTGCACTCCCTCCTTGGGGAGTGCCTTGGCTCTGTGTGCTCCATCAATGCCATGCACCCAACCCACTACATCCTGGCTGGTGGGAATTCCAGTGGGCGGCTGCATGTTTTCATGAAGCCCGGAAGCTGCTGAGTTTTAGGGTAGGTGTACCTGTTTGTTCAGACTGATCACTATGCCAGGAACTTGGGGTTCCTGTGGCTTTATGAGTGTACTTGGTCTTGGGTTCCCATTAAGAAGTATACAGTTGCTTTATGAATAGGAATCATATGGTGATGCACACGTGTAATCTCAGGATGCTGGGAGGCTTGAGGCAGGAGGATCTCAAGTTTTAGCCCAACCTGGGCAACTTTAGAAGACTATCTTTAAAAATAAAGTGTTGGGGATGTAGCTTAGTTCAAAGGCCCTGCCTGGGTTTAATCCCTAGTACTACAAAACAAAAATGAAAATAAAGCACTGAACAGAATGTACTTTTAGTAAAACAGAAGCCTCAAGCTGTTCCTCCAAGATAGGCAGCGACTTTGAGTAGAGGCTGGAGGCCGTCAGCACCAAGCATGGCAAATTGTAAAGCTCCAAATAACTGATACTAACTTTTTTGTAATCTAATGATGTGATTTTGATTCTATAGTAATATATAGGTAGATTTGTGGTTTACTTTATAGTTTGAAAGGAATTATTTATTTTTAGACCCATATATTGGAAAGGATCCTACAAGGTCATTTAACTCAGTGAATTTGAAACCTAGTTTTGTATCTAAGGACTTCTTTCTGCACCTGGCCTCTCAGTGAAACTGTGGGTGAAGTTCTCAGGTAATTGCTGAGAATCTGATTCACTGCCGGCAGGACCTGTTGGGGGCTGCCACAACCAACCCAGGATCCCAGGGCTCTGAGGCAGCATCGGTCTGCCTGTAGACAGTGTTCCAGACTAGGAGCATGGCTCTTCAGCGCTAGTGTTTAAAAAGGAGCGGAAGCTAGGTATGGTGGTGCACACCTGTAATCCCAGCACATGAGAGGCTGAGGCAGGAGGAGAGTTGCATGTTCAAGGACAGCCTGGACTGCATAGTGGGACCAGGTCTCCAAACAGACAAACATCATGAGAACAGAAAACACGATTAGAATAAATATCATTTGGTGAAACATAGTTTCATATGCTTATATTTGTAGGTGTGTATGTTTATGTATTTCTGATATAAAATGTATTTTTTTTTTTTTTGTTAAGAGTAAAAGCTACTGCCTTAGTGTCCCTGCCTTCCATTGTGCCTATCTTTCAGCTCCAAAAGGAGATTTAGCAGCCTGTTAAGTGAATGTTTTTATTTCTACTCATATTTTGGGGAAATGTTCTGGAATATTCATCATTTTTGATATTCCCAAAATTGTTAAGGTGATTTCAGTGTCTGTGGTTGTGAGGGGAGCTGCTGAATCAGTGACTAATACTATGCATGATATTGGCAAACTTCTCCATTGCTCACTACCGAAAGTACTACTGAGAGACTTGTAATCAGCTTAAGTACTATGTTTGAATTAAAGGAAATTATCTTTTCATAATTGTATATCACAGAAATAAAGTGATGGTTATTTTCCTTAAAGAATAATTTTTCCCCAGTAGTTTTCTTCTGTGTAATTAAAATCTAAGTATTTCGAGGTGTTTACTAATAGGTTGTGGATCTTTATAAGAAGTAGGCATTCTCTATTTTCTAATTGACATGACTGAGGAATTGGTTAATTGCCAAAGAAACATTATGAGATGAAAAATCCAGCTAAGTGAGCCGAATTGCACGTGAGTGTATTTATTTTGGTGGTACCGATGATTAAACCCAGGCATCAAGTGTGCTAGGCAAGGAGTCTACCACCGAGCTACATCCCTGCCTGGCTGAAACATTCACATCATCTTAAGAGGCCTAAACTCCTTCCCTTTTCTGCACCAATTAATTTCACAGGTTTTAGACTGGTTAGTTCTGTGGGAATTGTTATTTGTAGTACTTGGGATGAAACCCATGGCTGTAACATTCAGCTGCATCCCCAGCCCTTTTAATTACCAATATTTGCTACACACACACACACACACACACACACACACACACACACACGTATAATTAGTGCATGTTTGCAGTGCATGATGATTACATTTATTGTGGGGAGTTGGTGCATGTACATAACACATCTCCATTCTTTTTTCATCTACTTTTTTCCCTCCTTCCAATTCTTGGTCCCCTTCCCATTTGCAAAAGCTCTACTTCCATAATTTTTTCCCCTTTAATTCTTTTTTTCCCTCCCCTTCCCTCTCTCCATTTCATCACACCACCCGTTTGAAGATCTCCCTTATTTTGCTGTCTTCTGCTGCTGCTGCTTTTTTAAACCAGGGATTGAACTTGCAACCTCATACTTCCCAGACAGGTGCTTATGCTGCTGAGCTAAATCTCCAGCCCTATTTAGCTGTCTTCTGTTTTGTATACCTGTCTGACATCTATCTTATATATATCATCTGTATATTGTTTCTAATGTAGGAGAAACCATATGATATTTAAACTTGTGTTTCTTATCTCTCTTGATATTAGAGTCCCAGGTTGTACCCATTTACTGAATGCCTCAGTTTACCTCCCTTTGTGGCAGCAGCCCCTTTTCATTCCAACGCTGGGTCTCACCAAGTCACGGAGTTCCCCAGGCAGGGCTGGAACATGTGATCCTTCTGCCTCAGCTTCTTAGAGTACCAGGATTATAGGAGTACGCCATTGTGCCTAGCTGGGAATTGTTCTTTAAGATGCTGAAAACTGCTACCATATTTGGCAGGAAGTGCCTGGCCCCTGCAATAAACATTAGCAGGTTCTCAGTGTTTCTCACTTTTGTGGTTTATTTTGCCATTGCAGGCTTCATAAACCCTGCTATTTATATCCAGTGTCACTTAATGGAGTAATAGCTTCTTGAATACAGGAGAATGAATAGGAACTTGCTTCTTGGTGATGTTTTATAATGACATAATTATGTAAAAAAGAAAATTGTTTTCCTTAGGATATGCTTTCATTGTCATCTGTAGTGAAAGGCACATCTGGAGACGCTCAGCTGTGTGGGGTCTGTAATTCTGCATGGATTGTGACTGCTCCCTGTGTGGTAAACCTGTGCTTCAGCTTGGCCTCTGTGGTCTTGCTCCTACAAGTAAGCTTGAGCTCTGCTGAAGCTGTTTGAGGGATCTCCTTGTGCTGTGTGACTAAGGAAAGAGCAAACAGTTGGTATTTTGCGTGGGATGCACAGACCCTTGGTCAGGCGAGGGATGGCCACAGGAATCAACAGAGTCTGAGCTGTTCAATCCTGTTGCAGTATTCTGGCCACTGAGTTTCCTCATCATAAAAAAGATTTTGCAGGGATTGCTCCAGGAAAACAAAGAGTCTGGGGCTTGGATAAAAAAATTTTGAATCCTTCAGTAGCAAACACATGACCTTGGGAAAAATCATCTAATCTTTTTGGTTTTCTTTCTCAGAAAAATGAGGACCAGTTCATCTTTAAAATCATTCCCCATTTGTAGCTTCTTAGTGGGAGGTGTATGTGATGATGATGGATGTTAAGCAAAAACCTTTTTAAAAAAAAATATGATCCCAGTTGTGAACAGCAGTTAGCTGAGTGAATTACCCTTTTAATTGGTGTGCTAGTAACATCTGATAAAGTGAGACAAGCTATGGGTTAAACAAAGAGCCCACTCTCCTTGGTATTTAAATGTTTATTTAAATTTAAAAATAATCTTCATGGCACCAATGATTTTATGCTAACTACATACTGCATGTGTAGAAAAAAAGTACATTGCTTTGAAGGAAAATGTAACTTAAAGAGTTTTTGGCACACGAAATATAACAATTATGTATTTGCAAATGAAACTAAGAAATTCACATTTGCGTTAGTTTACCTTCTACTGCTTCAAGATGTGGTATATTATTCTTCAGTGAGAGTTATTTCCTCTGATAAAGGACAAGACAGAAACCACTGCTTTTTCTACAGTGAGCTAGAACTAATTTTGAGAGGAAACAGAGACAGTAAAACATAGTAAAACAGATTAAAAACTTGAACAACTTTTAATGGTGAGGAGATACCAAAAAGACTAGTTGTCAACAAAGGTTTGTTATTCAAGCACTATTTGAAAAACAAACTGAAGTTTTTCTATCCACGTTTTCTGAACAAGCCCTAGAAAAAACAAATGACCCAAACGTTTCTGTTGGGCTGCTGGAGTGGCATGGACTACTGTACTGTAGGAACTCTGGATAGGAGAAGCACACAGGCAGGGATGTGTGTCTCTCCTATGTGGATAGGCAAGAATCGAGGTGCGGCTATCACTCACTGCAGAGAGACTGTGTTCTACAGACTGAGGTAGGAGCACTACACTAGAAGGTCGCCTGCTATGTTGCATAAGACGGTAGAGATCCATGTTGACACCAGCCCCGGTCTCCTGACAGCTTTTTCATCGCTGAGTTTATTTTTCACTTTAATCCTGTGCTAAATAAAGCCTCTGCTATGTAGATGACAAGTGGCAGTGGCTATTTGGTTTTAAGGGATCCCTAATCTTTACTAGGATCTTGCTTGATTTCTCTTGTCACTTGGTAAATAGATGTTTGTGATTCTGCCCAAATTGTTGGTGGCATGGGAATGATCAGAGAGGCTCACCTCCATTCTTAGGTTTGCCACATTTTAGTGTTCCAGTACCTGGTCTGGCTTATCTTGGCTGCTGGCATCTTTGCTGGTTGGTTGTTAGAGCACCCTATAAACAAGCAGCTGCAGCGCCTCCACTGGGAAACATCCTGGGTCTTTAACACGTGCCAGAAATGGAGCAGAGGTGACCCTCTTCTGCTAACACATGGTCAGTTTTATTGTCTTCATCAGGGTTGGCTTATTATAGCCTTTGGGCCAAATTTGGCCTACTTCTATTTTTATCAAGCTTTATTTGAACACAGCCATGCTCTTTTCTTGTACGCTTTACCTATGGCTGTTTTTGTGCTATGGTGGCAGAACTGAGTAGTAACAGTATAGCCCACAAAACCAGAATATTTATTATCTGGAACTTTTCAGGGGAAGTTTACTGACCTCTAGATGAAAAGGGTAACTCTACTTCCTTTAAACTGATCCCCTTCTGCCTTATTTGTCCATGGCTGCTATATTCTGGACATGGACATGGTTCTGCCAACTTGGGGAACAAATTAAGGGAAATTAGATGTACAGGTGATGCATTCTGTCCATCAGCATAGTGTTGTCAGCTGCTTTGCTGCCCTGTGGGTCTCAAGTGTCCACTAACCATCCTTTAAAAAGTCCTTAGGCTCGGATGACATAGAAGTCTCTCCCTGAGATGAAAACAAGACCTTGTGTGTGACTGGTTTTAAGTGCTGCAGAGCTCAGGCCAAGGGAGCTCGTGTCCCACCCGCCCCTGATGTCCCTGTGCCTCTGAACTCCCAGGCAGTCTTCCCTCAGCTAGCATGGCAGGTGCCATCCTAGAACTTAACTTCCCAGAGGGTGACCCTAGGGGGCAGCATTTCTACATCTAAGTATTCCTCTCTGCCAAGTCACCTGTCTATTGTAGCATATCTTAGAAATCCTATTTAGAGATTCTTTTCTTGGTCCCTTCCAAGGCTGTATGTTGATCTTGGAATCCTATTTTCTGACGCTTTCCAGTCTCAGGATCAGTTTCTTGCATTATTTAGTTCATCAGGCTCTATTATCTTAATCCATAAAGTAAAAACAAAATCTGAAGAGGTAAAATTACACTGTGCTGTTAAAATATGAGCTGAGATGGTCTTTTGTTGGGGGCACATTGTATACAAAGTAAGCACTGCTCTGCAACCCCGCATTCTCAAGTTGCTTAGCTCTGGCGTCGGGTAACTACTTGGTACCACACTGCTGACGCACCCTCTCTGGCACCACTGAGTTCATTTCCTGCCCTGCAACTCTTTCAGGTCTTCAGGGAACATCACAGAAGTCTCATTCATGACATGGTGAGGCCCACTAGGCTCTAGTCTAAGGGGACAGACTTACCCTACCCCTGCTGCTGCTGGCTTGGCGGTGGTCCCTTCAGATGCCCACTCTGCTCAGATTTGAAAAAACAAAAGGAAAAGAAAATCCAACTCAGACCATCATAAGAAGCAACTTTCCATTTAATCTTTCTACATGAATGTTTAATTTTTTAGAAAGTTCTTTCTGGCAGGAAAACCTAAACAGTCTCCACTGTGTAGACCCTGGCCTGCCCTGCTATGGCTGCAGGTGGGCGTCTCCCTGCACCTGGTGGCACCAGCAGGAAAGCTGCTGCGGAACACAGAGGACAACAGCACTCTGGTCTTCAGTTAGTGTCCCATCTGCTAAGTGACACCACCGGGATAATGAGTAATAATAAAATAAATTATTTTTATTTGATACTTTCAAAATAACATCTATGAAAAATCAAAATTCAAAACCAAAAGTTATCCTGCAAATTGAAGGATGAAAAATAAGAGTTGCTGAGCCTTTCTTGAGAGAAACTCTGGAGAAAATGAGTTTTCCCAGTTTTGTGGACAGGGCCTGTGCCCATCCCTTTCTTCTCCTGGGAACACCCCTCCTAGGTTGCAGTGGGCTCGGAGGCATGAGAGGACTTGTGTGTGCCGATGGATCCGCGATGTTCCCATTGCTGGGAGGGGAAGCCGGGCTCCTGCGTCCACCTGGCTAGTTATTGGGAGGAGTCATGCCTTCTCAGGTGTCTATGAGCAGGCTCACCACTGAGCGGATTTTGCAGGCAAACCATCGCCTGAGGGGACAAAAGTATTGATAGTGGAATTGTTCAAACTCGGGGGTCTGGCGGATATCTCGGAAAAAGGCAATGTCAAGGTCAGACTCGGTAAGGATGATCAGGAGGAGGAGCAAAACAAAGAGGAGTCCCATGGTCACAAGGAGCAAACGGAGGACACTTAAAACAAACTTATTCACCTGTTCCTGTTCTGGCCTGCCATGCCCCTGACACAGGGCCCTCAGCTCTCCTCCCAGCGCCTCCGCCTCTGCCGCAGTTGGGGTGCTGCTTTCAGACTCCTTCTCCTCCTCGATGCTACAGGTGGCTCCATTGATCTGCCGGGAGAGCAGCATCAGCTCCAGGCTGTTCTCGGCCACGGGCGTGGGCAGCACGCTGTCCGCAGGGCTGTAGGCCTCATCTGAAATCACAGCTACTCGATCGTTGCTGTCTGCCCGGCTGCTCCTCACGTGAGGCAGGAAGGTGTCCCCGTGGGAAGATGACCGCACTGGGGTAGAATGGGCACTGTCTCGTAGGGACTCAAGACCTGGAAAGGCAAGAGGTGCATGAATAGGCCTCTGGCCCCCTACTCGTGCTGTCCAGTAGCACCTGTCCTTGTTTGTCTCGGTGTCCCCTGCACACCCACCTTGACCAGTACAAGCGGCTGCCACTCCCCATTTTGACAGAAACATTTTAACAAGAACAGGACAAGGGAACTCAGAAATCTGACTAACCATTTTGGAAATGTTCTTTTCTTTTTGCGTATGGATTAGGCCTGGTTTGTTAAAGATTCAGCTTTTCCTACTGTTAGTGTCTCGGCCCTGGTTTTAGCCACCATTTGAAAGGGGGTCTGAATCGTAGGCTGTCCTGGGGGTGGGGGGGTGGGGACTCTGGGGCATGAACAGTGGGGTTGAAGAGCTGTCTGCAGCCTGCGCCTGCCTCTTCCATTTAGGTCTCAGCTTGCCCCAGAAACTGTTGTGAAATACAACTTGAAATGAGACCTGCTCCTCGTTTCCGAGCTTTTGATGCTCCTTTGACCTCTGGTTTTCTTCTCTGCTGCCCCCACTGGTACATGGGATGGGAGAAAGCTGTATCTTGGTGTGAGCCATGGCTCACTGATAACATGAACATTAAGGCCTTGGTCGTGGTATGTCGCCGACTGGCCTCATTTCCTAGCACTCTTCTGCTGACTATCACCAACACAGCCCAGGCCACCTGAGCCCCTCTCAGACCTGTCACCTTACAAGGACACCTCTGACTGCTAGATCTTCCAGAGCATGGAAGAACTGCTGCTAGCAGCAACTTCAGTGCAAACTCAGTTTGATCCTCAAGCAAGCTCTGAGCTGTCTGGGGAAGGAGAGATGCAGGTGTTGTGACATCAGAGGAAAACAGGTCATGGAGAGGGTCACCAGAAGACACACTCACTGCATTGCTGGTATCTTCAGTGAAGGAGGTAACGGACAGATGTGTGCATTACATGACCACTACAATCACTCTGCAAACGTCACACTTGTCCTGAACAAAATGATCTACCTGCCCGTGGAGACCACTGCCAGGCTTTCTGTCCTTCATCTGTTAGTCTGGGGTAAGTAATGCAGCAAAGCAGAGTGGTGTCCCCTTTACCTGAGAGGTGCTCCAGCTGACTCCCGTGCCCAGAGCTGGCTTGCACTGGATCAGGGGACACAGTCGTCAGGATCCTACCCTGCAGCCGTGGCCCCATCCTCAGGATACGCACACTCAGAGGCCGAAGGCAGTGGTTAGTCAGCCGGAGCCGAACGGGGACTCGGGTGTGGATCTTAATCAGACTTTTCCCCATGGCGGCCCAGGAAGGCAGCTACTACTTCAGTGTAAACCAGCTAATCTCTTGGGGAAACCAGCCCACAGGAGAGGGAAAGGACAGAAGCTAACGAGATGGAGGACTGTCACTGACCCCTGGCCTTAGCAGTGTGTCCTGTGCCGGACAGAGGTTGGCTGCTTGGGTGTCTCCTGGGCTGAGCTTGAGGAGGAGCAGCTCTAAGAGGCTACACGGTTATCAGAGGACTGGATTCAGCCACAAGTGCTTGGAGCTATAAAAAGCAATGCTTCCATGGCTTGCAGTTCTTTTCCTGAGGCCATATATGGGCCCAATCTCTCGGTGAGGGACACAGAAGGCAGTGACAAATTGCACAAGGTAGGGGAGTCAAGATTTGCCCAGAAAATCCAGGATGTAAAGTCACAAGAACATTAGCCTTTATCCAGGGCATACATGCCAGGAAGTTACATGGTCATAACTAGCCAAGTGTGGGGAGGTGGCTTTGGGGCTGTCGGTCAGTCCTGAGGGCAGAGATCAGGCTCATCAGTTCATAGTCTATTTTTATTTTTTGAGTCTATTTATTGGGATGACATGGTTCTATTCACTGTAACACCATGCTAATGTTTCCTATCGTTTTTTGGGGGATAACAAAGGTGCTTTGGAAGTCAGATGGCTTCTGTGACACTGCTGGGTGGGCTCTTTGACAGAGCTGGGTCTGGTGTCATGTCCCAAAGGATGTTCCCTGGGCTGCACTGGCCTGTGTCCTGGGACGCCAGCTCGTCCCTCTTGCTCCTCCACTGCCAGGTGAGACTCAGCTGCGCTTGTCAGAACTTTCTTCTTATTGGTTCTGGGAATTGAACCCAGGGGCTGGCTCTCACTAAGCTATATCCTCAGGCCTATTTTGCTTTAGTGTTTTAGTTTTTGAGGTGGGGTGAGGGGTTTCTCACTAAATTGTCCCTGCAGGACTTGAACTTGTGATCTGCCTGCCTCAACCTCTAGGTGCTGGGGATGACAGGTGTGTGCTACTATGTGGCTGAAGCCCCCTTGTTAGAGATGGTACACCTGAACTGCCTCATGGGAAACAGTGTTTTAGTTTCATATGCTTAGTAGCTCTTGCTGATGAAGCCATTTAACTGCTGAAAGCTTACACTTTTTTCTCATCTAAACAAGACAGCCCTCTCCTTTCCTGGCTGTGAGGGTCTGGTTGCAGCTGCTCCTCCAGGACTTTCTGGACCAGTGGGTGTTGCTGGGGGCTATGAGGAGGGACCATGCGCTGCTAAATCTCTGTCCAAATGTGAGAAGTGTGTGGGAGGCTGCTGCACCAAACTCACTGGAGGGAAACCAAGGCTGAGGTCCTGGTCAGCACCCCCGCACTGCCCTGGCATCCCGGCCCCAGGGAGCAATCCAGGGAAAGGCCTGGCTGCTGTGGTGGAAACAAGGCTCCCAGCTTGTCATGGGGGAACCTAAGGGCTCTCCTGCCCACTCCAAGTTGTTCTCTGCCTACTGGGATGGCTGTGATCTTTTCTCCTCTGACATATGAGCCAGCCCTGCGAGTGACCTGCTGGCTCGCCATAAAGGGGAGGCCATAAAGGGGAGAAGGTTCCTCAAAGAAGATGTTCACTTCCCCAAGAAGTACACACCTGGGAAAGGGCCAGTGGGAGTCAGACATGAGGAGGCTAGATCCCAGGACGGTCAGATTCCTCCAAGGTTCCAAGGCCTTCTGCATCCACACTGCCTTCCACAGTGGGCGGCAGAGCTCCTGTCCCAGTGTCATTAGGACTTTTGTCCAGGGGGGGTCAGCACTGTTCTTTATCTGTCTGGTAAGTACTTTAAAGACCTTTACATAGCTGGGCATGGTGGCCCACTGCCTGTAGTCCCAGCTATTCAGGAGGCTGAGGCAGGAGGATTACTTGGTCTCATGAATTTGAGATCAGCTGGATAACATAGTGAGAATTAGTTTTCTTGCCACACCTGGATAGGCAAGGAAGATATCCATGTTTTATAAATGAAGCAACTAAAATGCTTGAGAATGGTTATCTGTCTTGTACACTATACATATAGTTATATGTGTATACCAACAAGTTGTTCTTTCCTTTTGAGTATTGTCTTTCCCTTTCATTATTACAATGTCTATTATATATTTTGGATATTATTACTCTTCCAGTTTACTACTATTTTTTACAGTAGAGAGACAATATATTTACAAATGTGAGTCTGATTTATCTCACTTGATAAGTGTGCAAGACAGATCTACTAAGTTTGTTACATGAAAGTAGTTTTTGCTGTCATTGATTATTTTTTATGCTTTGATTTTATAACCTGAACAACTGCTTCTAAGATAATATATAATTTATCAACTAGTGATTTCTTAATGTTATTTTTTGAAATTCTGTATCATTTCTACTTTTTTGTTTTGCTTTTTTTAAATTAAATTTTTTAAAATGTTGAGAAATAATTAAATCTCAGTGGTAGTTGCCCAGCCAGGCCCCTCATCTTCTAGACATTTAGAGATATGTGCTATTGGCAGGTCACATGTACTGATGTGACATGCACAGTGACAGTACCCACTGTAAATCCTACCAGAGATCCTTGCAGGGGACAGCAGAGCAGTATCTTTCCTAGCATGAGCAGTCTGCATCTTGGGGGGTGGGTGGGATTGAGACAGGGTCTCCTTATGTAGCCCACGCTGGCCTCGAACTCATGGCAATCCTCCAACCTCAGCCTCCCACGTTCTGGGATCACAGGTGTGTGTCACTGTGCCTGGCAGTTCCTATTTTCACTGACAGGATTCCCACAGGAAGGGCAGAGGGCCTCCCTTCCCAGCCCCACTCCCTTGACTGTGGCAGAGGGGTCTGAAGCAATCCTGCCCTTTCCTGTTATGTGATATCTTCTGAGGGCTCTTACTTTATTTTTAAAAACTCCCATCTGTGAGAAGGAAAGCAGTTATCTTGACACCCATGCCACCTGGAAAGCAGGGTAGTGGTGACCACAGGGTTTCTCTCTCCCCCAGAGGGCGGTGGAGGGAGATGAGACGGTTTCTACAGCTGACGGACAGGTGGGGGAGATGACCAGACTTCAGAACCCACAGTTTCCATTTCTTGGTTTCTTTGCTAAGTCAGCAGGCTGACCGTGCGCACTCAGGAGGCTGCCCAGATCCAGACAGCGCGCACAGCCTCCTTCCTCCTAGGAAGCGGCTTCCGAACTGCGTGGAGCTTGGCAGAGCCCAGGGCAGGTCTAACCCTGTCCCGACCACAGCACCGCAGGTCTGGGCAGGATCCCCTCCTTAAGGTGAAAACTTATGCCTCACGTTGGGCCCTTCTGCTCAGCCCCCGGGATGGGGGGAGCACGGCACCGCTCCCACCTCGGCTCACCTTCCATGATGGAGATGTGCACAGCTCTCCTGCGGGTCCTGGGGACACTGCTCAGCCGAGGACCGTGGGTGATGGAGGGGCAGCTCCGGCTGGGAACCATCCCTGCCCTGAGGGTAAAGGAAGAGAGCCCAGGTCACTCAGGGCACAGGAAAAAGGTGGTAGCGTCTACAGCCGCTGTTTGGTTCTATTGTTTGGGTCCCCCCGATTTTTTTTTTTTAACTTTAGTAACTTCTCTTTGCCCCTGGATCCCAGTCAGAGACTGTTCAAACCTTCATCTCATTTCCCAGACTTACCTGTTTTTTTGTGTTTTTTTGGTGGTGCTGGGGATAGAACCCATGGCCTTTGCACAGAGCCACATCTCCAGCCCTTTCTAAAACTGTTTTTCAATTCTGAAACAAGGTCTTGCTAAGTACCCCAGGATGAGCTTGAATTTGTGATCCTCCTCCATCAGCCTCCCAGAGTGCTGGGCTTATAGGCTAATGCCTGGCCTCTATCTGACCCCCTCAGGGTGGCAACAGTGTCACTAATCTGGGGGCAGGACTGTCAGGGAGTAGAGCTCCAGGGTGAGCAGGACTCCTGAACCTGCCTTCAGATGGATTCTGGCAGCCTCCTCTGACTCTGGCAGAGACTGCTGAGTGGCGCTGGGTGTGGAGGGCAACTGGTGAAGCCCTCTTGCAGAGGCAGAGGCCGGTCGTGTTCTTTCTGAGCCTTTCCAGGTTCTAGGAGGTGGGCTGCTAAGAGGGTGTGATTTAGATACACACACGAGGCATGGATCCTGAAATTATTTTTGATCCCATGAGGCAAGTCAGTAAGGATGTTCCTGGCTTCTGAAGCAATGAATGTTGCTACTTTGTCACATCCTCCAAGGGGTTTGGTCAGGGCTAAGATGTGGAAGGCAGGACGGAATCAGTGCAGTGGCACCTAGGTCTGGGGACTGTCTGCAGATGGCCTGCCCTCTAGTCTGTGGTGTCTGTCATGTGGAGCCAGGTTTCTTCACCCCCCAGCTCCTGGCCCTTTTGGTAGTCACTGTAGCCAGGAACTTCACAGAATTCAAATTGCTAGATCTTTTGAGATCCTGAGATCTGAGCTGGAGTACGCTTTGCGGGAAGCCTCTGGCAGCCTACCTGTGTATTTCTGGTGGCTCTCGTTTGATCTTGGCACTTGATTCCATTACTTCCTTTGCAACTCGGCCACTGTAAGTAGTATAATTAAAAAAAAAAAAAGCAGCAAAAATGAGTCAGTGTTCCAGGACTGGCTCCTTGCCAAGCTCTCTGATGCTCTGGCCAAGTGGTGAAATGGCCCCTGACCCTCCCCTTCCCCAGTGCTGTGGCCACTGAGAAAGGCTTGCCTGCTGGGATAGAGCTCTAAAATGGCATGAGTTTATCTTAGGAGAGTCCCTGGGACCTCCCATTGTCATTTAGGAATGATTCCTTACTGTCTAACATGTTTCAGATAACAGCACCAAAAATAAATGCAAAACCCTTTACACAGTGAGACATGAAAAGAATCACTGGAGTTCTTTGTACTTTTGTAGGAGAAAAAGAAACCAGACACATATGAAGCCCTAAGGACAAACAGCGGGAGTGTTGGCAATGGGGGATCTGGGTGGGAAGCTCCAGCTTTCCTGAGAGCTCCCATTTCTCTGTCCTCTAGGATGAGGTCCACTTAGTACCGTTCTTCAGAGAAGGTCTGGAAATAGGTCCATAATGGTTACTTACTGTCACTATTTACCTGTATCGGAACCGGCTTCCTTTAAAGAATAAATTGCTGCTGGACACTGTGCGGACCTGGCTTGATTTCTCCAGCCTGCAGCAAGGCAAACTCAGTGTGACTAATGGCCTGCACCCGCCCTGCATCCGCCATGCAAGGCAGAACGTCTGCTCCATTCAAAACTCCAAGAAAAGGCCCACGGTGGCCCATACCTGCCTCTGACTCTCACTGAGGATGAGACTGCTCACGGCCAGCTGCCCTCCCGTCTTAGTGCCTGGGACAGTCACCCACTGTAATGTCAGGACAGTGATGGGACCTCCAAGAAGGCTCGATGAATTGACCAGTGGGACTGGGCTGACAGTCTGGGGAATGACAGTGTCAGCAGCGTCTTCTCAGCCAGGCCATTCATGAGCATGTGCTGTCTCTTGGTCTCAGTTTTCTTCTCTATAAAGTGATGAAGCTGAGACAACATTGGCTTAAGTACCCTTCCAGGCCCAGTATGTGATGCCAATGTCCTGTCTGGGAAGCTTGGGCAGAGCTGCCCGAGAGTCCTCCTAAGATTGGGTTCACCTGCAATGCCGCCAGGTACCTGCAGTACCAACCAGTCAAGGACAGCTGGGTCTGAGTGGGAAGTGAGTACAGGAAGCCAGCCCTGTACAGCTCCTAGGAGACACCAGCCCCTACTGCCTCAAGGCTCTGTGAGGACCAAACTTCCTGGCCCTTTGCCTGAGCATGTTCTGAAATCAGTCCGGGTTCCTTCAATACATGGAGCCACAGGCCAAAGGAAGGACTGGAGACCTTCATGTGGGAGACATCAAGGGCAAGGTCAACATGGCTGCTGCCAAAGAACTGGTGTCCCTAGGGTCCTGACCCAGGCTAGAAGCTTTTGACACTTAGATGAGGAGGAGACCCTTGGAAGCAATGGAAATGGCCCCAGTTTCTAGTATGTGTGCTAGCGGGCTGGGTGCTCTTGGAAAGACTCAGAAACTGAGTCTGGTCACGGATTTGGAGGCAAACTTCTATTCCATGATGCAGATGGGAAAATAAAGGCCATAAATAGGACAAAGTTATGGGAGGCATGAAAAGGCAGAGACTGGCAGGTTGCTTCCTTTTCGTATGAGCCCATTCTAGCAGAGACAAATGCTCTGTGCCCTGGATGGTGGGTGCTCCATATGGAGTCAGCAGCCCCAGGGCCGCCATCCTCTGGAGTGGCGGCTCAGCCCCAGAGCTGATGTTTATAGCTCAGACTGCTTCCTTCAAATGCATGAAACTGACCAAACCTAGGCTCTGTGCTTCCAGGCAAAAGGAAGGTGCTAGTAAAAGAAAAAATAATTCCTTGGCTTTCTCTGGACAGCAGGGACTGAGCAGGAAGGAGACGTGACCTTGCTAATCTCTCTGGCCTGTTCTACAAGGAAGGAGGAAGCCATTCAGGTTAGATGAGTATAGGCTGACTGTTCACCCTTGGAGCTAATGTCAAATGCACCTGCCCAGAAAACAGCCTGCTGGCCAGAGCAGCCAGTGGATGGTAGAGTCTGTCCTGGGAGAAGCATGACGCCCAGCCAGCTCAGGGTGAGTCTACTCTCTCCACAATCCCAGTCTCGGAAGCTGGACCCATCTTGCCTGCCTTAAGAAATAACTGGATTTTAAGCAGTGATCCATGCATACTAGACAAGCATTTTCTGCTGAGCTACATCCACAGCCTTTTTAAACTTTTATTTTTGAGATAGGGTGTTGGAAGTTTCCCAGGTTGGCCTTGAACTTATGGTCTTCCTGCCTCAGCCTCTTAGGTAAGCGGGGTTACAGGCGTGCACCACCACACTCAGCAAGAAACATCTTATTAACAAATAATTCGTTGTTTTATTTTCACAACAAGACGAAGTGGTTTAGTGAAGCATTTTACTTATTCTCACCCCATTTTCTCTATGGGCCATTTCTGTGCTCCCTAATGCTTTTAATAACCCCTTAATCAAACAAAACTGAATACAGAAGCCTCCCATACTTTGTGAAATCCTTTGTGTGCAAATTTTACCTTTGTCCCCAACCTCATTTCTCAGTTATCAGTCAAGCCCTTGCTCAACTCCAGCCAAGCCCCTGGCACGGGGCCTGCAACATCTTTAGTTATGACAGACCAGGAGGGGCTGGCACCCATGGTAGACCCAAGTCTGTCCAAGCCTACGGTTTGGGTCTGGGCCAGGGAGCTGCTGTGGTTTATACCTGGACCCTAAGGAACTGTTTTACATTTTTCAAGGCTCTGAATGGTTTCTGGGACACCATGATTCAAATCAGACATGAATGGCTTTTTCTGGCCCAAGCCTGACGCCAAAAAAGACCAGAATTACTGGAGACTGTTCAAGGATGTGTCCAGGTGGGCCCCTGGACAGCTTAGCAGAAACATATCTCTTAGAGTTTGACTCTGTACCCTCTGAGGGCACAGCACCCAGCAAGCCATAGAGGTTACTAAGAAGCCAGTAACCTCCTATCCTCAGGGCTCCTTTCTCAATGTTTGCGGGTCCTTCTGCCTCTACAAGCAGCTTCTGTGACTGCCTCGGAGAGGCGGTCCCCATCACCTGTGTCTACTCACTTGTAGAAGGCTTGGTTCTCGATTCCGCATTTCCAGAGGTGCTTGCAGGCTTCTGGAGTTGGAGCAAAATATGTGAGAATAATTTTCTTTTCCTGCAAAAATTTCACATAGAAATGCTGATTATGAGTGAAGAGGGGACATGGTCCCCTGAGCTGCTGGAGGCCCCCTTACAGCAGTCGGCCAGCTGCACAGAGGGCCCTTCTGAGGGACCCACTGGGTATCACCTCAGTCCTGACAAGTCCAGCCAGAGTAAGACTCGGGTGGCACAGGCTGGACCAGGAGAGCCCTTGGTGAGAAGTGGCTCTTGCATCTGGAATTTCCATATGGAAGAAAGAATCTGACTTTGGTTTTATGTTGTTGTTTTGTTTTTGTTGTTTGAGATAGAGTCTTGCTATGTATTTCAGGCGGGTCTTGAACTCACTGTGTAGCCTAGGCTGGCCTTGAACATGTGGTGACCCTCCTGCCTCAGCCTCCCGAGTGCTGGGTTCACAGGTGTACGCCACTACACCCAGCAAAGAATCTGACTTTGGACTATAGTTCCTGCAGTTAGGGACCTCTTAGTGAATTCTGCATGTCATCAGCATCCCTGAGGAATTCTGGCTCTGGAACCTTCCACCCCTTCCTCTCTCACCTCTCGATGTTTAACTGATGGCTGAGCCCTACCTGGACCCCTCCAGCTTGGCTCTGGCCACTGGGAACCACTGTAGTACCTTGAAGAGAAGGAAGCCAGCACTCACCTCTTTCTGACTTACATATAAATAGAAAGTCTTTCCTTCAAATTTCAGCTTGGTCACCTCATTCCTAGAAGCACAAAGAGAGCACCTATTGCTTGACTGTGAGCTTCTGTGTTACTGTTAAGTCTTACAGATGCACAGCCCATCCGAACTGGAAGGGGCTCCAGGCACAGACACAATTGTAGCCAAAATTAGAACCGAAACAAGACAGCGCAGTGGCCTTAGAGAACAATTGTTGGAACAGTTCAATCCACAGTGTTCTGGTTAATCACACTATAGTCATAGGTGATAGGAGTTCAGGCTCATCAACAGTGGCTGTAAAAGGGAGACATTTGCATGGGAAGTGAGTCTAGGTAGAGTGTTGGGATCATTTCAGGATTTGGTTCATAACACAGGTAGGTGCATTATCTGGATGGGACTGTCAGATGTAAGATGCCACAGGCAGCTGATGAGGCCAAAGTTCAAGATACACCAAATAATGAAGTACAATGCAACCAGGCTCTGAGGGAGTTGAGTCTTTGAGGTGACTGTGCCACTGGATGGAAAATGCAGTTTAATGCAGACAGATGTCAAACAGTCTCAGGGAGGGGCAACATACCAAAGAGAGAACAGATTACATGGAACAGTCATGCAGCGTACTGACCAGGAAAGGGGCTTAGGGGTTATTGTAGAAAAATCCTTGAAGCCACCAGCCCAGTGAATGGCTGCAGTAAAAGAGGCAAACAGGATACTGGGGTACATCACCCGCGGGACAGACACAAATCAGAAGTGACATGGTTACTGTACATGGCACGACCTAGACCTCACCTCCACATACTGCTCTCAGCCTTGGTTACATTTACAAAGTGAACAATGACTGAGGCCCACCGTGGATGTCCCTGAGAGCCAGAGAAACAGGCCTCGGTGTCCATCACTCTCAGCTTCCCTCCCAACATGCTCCCCCAACAGCCGCACGGCCCTCTCGCTCATGGGAATTCTTATTTTCCTGCTCAGTTGAGACCTCAAAGGAGGTCTGGTCACACATCTCTGCCTCCCCTCAGCTGAGGATCCTTTGTAAGCCTCAATACATACTCTGATAAGTAGTGACCATGTGCCCAATTCACTGCTAGACAGAATTCATGGACAAGAGAATCACTTGTTCTTCGTGGTTTTGGAAATCATACCCAGGTGAGGATGGCAGTTCACAGCTTCTGACCACCAGTTCTGAGCTAAGTCAAGCCATATGGTGTCCCCTCTCTGTTCACAGACTCCCTCTCTTTCTCCCGGTCATCTGATCAGTCATCCAGCTCTCAAACTCACACACACAGGAGACAGTAAATGTCTGTGGTTAATATACACGCGAGCACACAGACCACTGAGGCCCCCAAACAAGGCAGCTATTATTATAAAGCTGAGACATGGCGAAAAAGAGACTTCCTGAAGGAGAAAGAACGGGGCCTGGGGGGCGGTGTGATTTCTGGGGTGGATGTAACTTAGGCGCTGCAGGGGGCTGAAGCAGGTGCATCCTGCTGTTTCCTAGCTAGCTCTGCCCCCATGGGGACCTCAGGAGACAGCTACCCTAGTCACAGTGTGGCCCTCTAAGGACTGTCACATGCCCGGGAGGTGTCCAGGCAGAAAGTGACCCACATGAGAAGGTGACCGGATCCTGCTTATCATCTTTCTCCGAAAAGGAGTTTGTTAGACAGGAGGACCCAGGCCCTCACGTCTTCACCCGGACAGCAGAGTGATGTGACTCAGGAAGTCTATGAAACAGGTTGGTTAGTGACGCCATGGCAATGGCTGCCTTGTGAAGGGGACTCAGCTTACAAGTCTGAGGAGCAATTCCTTTAGCACAGTTGGTCATTTTCTTGCCTTTCCTCATAAGAGTGGTCTGGGTTGGATGGGCTCTGCTCTCAGCTCGGGGAGGCAGGGAAGGCGGAGGAAGAGGGGGGCTGCAGCATAGCGGGAGTGCTTACCAAGAAGCAGGTGTGGACCAGCCTCGTCACTAGATCTGCTGGAGAGGTAAAGGCACTAAGCAGACTCCCCAGACACACGGAAGCTGTTACCTGAGGTGACCGAGCCGCCAGCTTAGACATGACAGGCGGAGGCCCCAGCAGGTAGAAATTGGGGGCTGGGAATATACAAAGTGTTCTGGTGAGACTGACAAGATATCTGCATAGGCAGCTAACATTTCCAGGGTATTTAAATGTCGTCCACAAACTGGAGCCTGTGCCCAACCCTGCAGTAGAACAGGCTCCAAGCAAAAACAAAAGGATAAAAGAGTCGGGTAAAAGAAGCAATTCGGTCACAGCAGTGGAGGCACTGGCTCTTTTTGTGGGAGCATGGGGAGGGGAAGGAGGAGGAAAATGTGGGGATGTGAATCCTACGGTCTAGGGACACTTGAGTCTCACAGAGGGACAGAAGTGAGACAGTGGCAGCTGAACTCCTGTGGAGCCTGAGAAGGAAGCTTTGCAGTATGACAGGCCCCGGGGCCACTGTGAGCGCTCCATTGGTGAAGTAGGTAAGCGGCTGGGCTGACTTCAGAGATGCATGGCCACGGCCTTGGCAGGCAATGCCCTGAGGACTCAATTCTGGGAACTGTGCTTCGCTAATGCCTGTTCCAGCCCTGGGCCTCCCAGAAACCAAACCTCTACAGCCTCTCTCTGGAGGGGCTGCTGGCTCTCAGGGACACCCCGTCAGGAGAACGGGATGGCTAGGAAGAGACCGCTACCTCCATCTGGCATCACTCTCAACCCAAGGCTTTGCAGAGCGCTCCAAACCCTAATTCCTAATTATAGACAACGGATTTGGGAACCACAGCCCCACCCCAGTTCACGGGGGATAAGGCGCCTGCTTTGGAAAGGGAGATACTCACCATTTAATGAAATGGACCCTCTTGTTTCCTTGAAGAACGACGAACCCAAAAGGAGTGAAGGCCAGAAATGCAGCATTTCCTGACACATCCTGCAACACAGAAAGGCTTCTCACTGTGGCACTGTGGGCACAGAGGTTCCAGGGTGAGGCACTCGGCTGGGGGCAAGGAGGCAGAGCTGCCCTGGCACTGGTCACAGTGAAGAGCCTTGCCATTCCCCAGCTGTGTGACAGTACCATAGCTCCCGAGACCCAAAGCCCTTTCCTCAAGTTGTAGATGGCAATGGCACCTACCTTAGAAAGTTGTCAGCAACATCTAAAAGACGCTCATGCGCTGCTGGTGGAGCTGTAAAGCAGTGCAGTCCCTTTGCAGGACAGTTTGGGGGTTCATATTATTAAACTCAGAGCTACCACCTGTGGCCCCCCCAATACCACTCTAGGCGTGTGTGCCAGAGAACTGAAAACATGTTTACACAGGAACTAACACACACATGTTAACACAGTACTATTCCCAGTAGCTACAGAGCAGAGACACCTCAACCTGCTTTGCCGTGGACAGCGTCTGTCACCTGTAGGCGCCTGAGAAAGAGGTGCGCTGTGGTGCAGCAGAATATGGTTAGCAGTAAAAAGGAATGACGTGTTGCTACACGGTACATTTAAGAACCTTGCAAGCATCATAGCAAGTGAAAGAAGCAGTTATCAAACCTTGGATGTGGAATAATGCTGTTTATATGTAATGTCCAGCATAGGCAAATCCATAAACACAAAAGTTCACTGGTAGCCAGGGGCTGGAGAAAGAGAGAGGGCAGTGACTGCTAATGGGCACAGGGATTTGAGGGGGACAGTTAAGGAAAATATTCTAAAGTTAGATAGCAGGGATGGTTGTATATAACAATATATGAGAAGCCACTGTCTTGCACACTGAAAGGTTAAATTTTATGATACATGAGTTGTATCTTAGAAAGCTGTTATTAGTGAGAGAAGCAGGTATATGGCGATGGGCTCTTGACACTGGGCTCCTCAGGGAAGCTAGCTGAAGAAGGCAGCAGCACCTGGCTGGGGGAACAGTCGCACACCCCTGAGGTGCAGGGCACAGAAAGGGGCTCCTGGTTGCCAGATTGAAGGATATGCCCACTTGGGGGCTTCCCTTGTCACCAGGATGCTAGGGAGAGAATTTGCCACATGAGCAGCGGTGGAGATGGCCAGAAAGCTGCTGAGAAGTTGGGCGGATGTGCCTGGGGAGAGTCTTCTGGGCTGCAGCGCGTGCTGCTGTGAATTCAGGCCCCTGCTCTCCTCATCTGCTTGCCTTCAGGATCTGCCACACTGGCATGGATTCTCAGCCTGACGGGTCCAAGGCCCTTGGGCCTCACCTCGGGGAACACTGCAGGTTTGCCACGGAGCTGCCTCTTGCAGTCAGGTTTGTAAGAGCGCAAGAGCGCCAGACTGCAGAGAGTATACATTAGTACACATTTTGTAACCATTCTGACGAATGTCTGTTATCGTTGTCCTGTCCTCAGGATCTGTCAAGATCTGAGATCCAGACACTTGGCTGCAGGCTCAGAGTCATATAACCTACAGGCACAGCAAAACACTTAAAAATAACTGATTCAGAAGCCATGGAGCAACAAGTCCGGGCCTCCTGCTTCTCATCAGTGCTTGGTGGTGGCTATTAATACCTGAGTACCAGGCACTGCACATGAACACTTTCCTGCCAGGAGGTCCGAGACTAGGCTGGCAGAGATGTGGGTCAGGACAGCGTGGCCTCTGAGGAGAATGGCCGAGAGAGGCAGGTGAGGGAGGAGACTGCCTCAGAGGTGGCTCTGGGAAGATTTCTGTACACTGTCAGGCCAGACCTAAGGAGATCCTAGAACTGTAGGCTTTAGAAGACAAAAGGCAGATTCTAAGGTGGAGACCTAACTGCACTGGCAACAGCCCAGAACAGGGCTGCGGGCCGCACTCATCAGGCTGAGTTGTGGCAGAGACAAAGGGATGAGCACACAGAGAGACGGTGGGGCCTTTACGGTGCTCCTCGAGACAGGAGGCCTGGAAGGAAGAACAGCAGGAAGGGAGGGCCCGGCCTGTGGAAGTGTGTCTAGCAGTGAGGAGACACAGAGTGACACAGGGGAGGTGCGGCTGGTGGCAGGGACATCTTCTGCATAGGACCACAGCTCCAGGTGCTCTGGAGAGCCCTGGCAGGTCCAGTCTGGCTGTGCCACATACTATGTGACCACGGGAAGGCCATAGTTCCACAGTGTCACACTGAGTTGGTATTTACCTGTTTTATAAGTTATGCATAGTAGGCCCCCATAATATTAATGGATGTGTTGTTGTGGTTGCTGACTTTTTAAACTTAATACAAATTCTTTGTATGAAAAGACCTAATGTTCTACTATTTTTTCCCCCTGATATTGACAGTTCTAAGTTGTGCTAGTTAGGCAATGAGTGTCAGTCAGTGTTATGGTGGCCTGCTGATAGGGATCTGAGGTGAGTGCAGGAGGAGCCACCAGAAGCTGGGGCCCAGGGAGACTTGGGAGAAGTTCGCTGCTGGCCTCCCTCCGGCCAAAGGGAAGAGAGAAGGGCGGGGTGCATCCTGCAAACTCCCGAGATCAGCCTCCTGGTGAAGGAATGAGGTGGGCTGAGCTGGAATGGGGCGAACTGTGAATAAATCCTGATGAGAAACCACAGCACGGCGGTAACACTGGCATCCTCAGCAATCCTGACCCTCTCTCATCTGAAGAAGCAACTCTCCAAAGCGCTGCATGCACCAACACTTGAGGGCCTCAGAGAGACCCCAGGATGGGGCTGGTGGCACCGAGGGCAGAAGAAGGCTGCTTGTCTGCGGCTTGTGAGGCTCAGCGTGAGTGACAGCGACGAGAGAAACCCAAATGGAAATGAAGTGGAGGCGGTGGTGTGACTCGTGAGCCAGACATGAGGTTCTTGGGGGAACCTCGCCATCTGAGAGGCTCAGGTCAAGTTCTTCATTTTGGCAGTGAACCTGCTGTCCTCCCTACAACACAGCCAAGAGGAGGAAAGTTGCCACACATCCTCCTTGTCCTTCTCTAAAGTTAGGAACACCTTGTCAAGATAGAGCAAGGGGTTCTTTTTGCTTTTTGAAATAAGGTCTTGCTCTGTATTTGAAGCTGGCTTTGAACTCACTATGTAGCCCAGGCTGGGCTTAAACTCATAGTGATCCTCCTGCTTCAGCCTCCTGAGTGAGGGGGATTACAGGTGTGTGCCACCATGCCCTGCAGTGCAATTTTATTTTTGTGATCTAATCTAGGTTCTGCTGAACTAATTCTCTTCTGGTCTATAAACAGCAGACATACTGGTGAATTTACATTAAATTTTATATGATGATTCTAGAAATCTTATAGGTCTGTGTCTTCTCTGTATCAGAATTAGTGGGGAGCCATGCTTAGTTCCTAAATACCATCTCTCCAGAAGACCATGAATGGTAACTGAAAAAGCATAGCCCTGAGAGCCTGCTAGCTCAGGTTGTGACCTGCAATACTATCCTCATCGGTAACTTCAGGCAGGTTAGCTCATCCCCCTCATCTCCTTCACTACCCACCTTCAAAGGCCCAAAGGAGGACGAGAATATTTTCCCGGTAGTGAGTGGTGAACATTAACTGAGATCATGTATGGTGCCAGGCACCGGTAGGCTTTCCGTAGTGGGACCTTTGAGGCTCATAGTGAAGGCTGGTGTGGGCTGGGCGTCTGTGACGGGGTAGCTACTCCTAGAGCGTGAACAGGGCAGCCCCATCAGTTGGCCACAGGACCAGGTTTCAGGCGATCAAAGCAAATAACCAGCCTCAGGGCCGGCTTGGCTGGAACTGGATGGCACACTGTGAGTGGGCAGAGGTTGTCAGGGTGGGGACAGAGCAGTGAGGGGCTGCACTCTCCTCTCCACAGCTGCATGGTCGGGCCACTAGGAGCCACGTGCAGTTTGCAGTCAGGAGAGCTCCAGTTGCCCCTGCTGGGCTGGTTGGACTTCCTCCTTTTGGTCCCAGGCCCAGATAGGATATTCTAGGCAGAAAGAAACCATCAGCATGAGGACAGACTGCAACTTCTTAATCAGTACAGGAGAACAGAGCCTGGCCAGTGTTGTTCTGCTCTCATTTAATTATCAGAACGATTCTTCCTCTTCTGGCCTCCCTAGAGCTGCATGCCCCAGATTCTCCGGGCCCAGTAATTGCCTCTCTGTTAATAGAAATCATCAGTATTTATTACACCGAGTGCGCCTTAGGAACATTAAGCCGAGCGCTTGGTAGCACATCACTGAAGTGACTCTACTTAGTGATAAGAGGAAAGGCTCCCTCACTGCTCTGCTTGCTCGGGAGGGGAGGGCTGAGGAGGCCACTGCAGAGCCAAGGGGAGCTGCCAGAGGGCTGGTGTGAGGTGAGGCCTGGGGCCCAGGACACAGGGTGAGGCCTAGTGGGGAATAGCTCTCAGCTTTCCCTGAGGGGTCTCCCTGGCAGTGTCTGTTCTGTGTAGGATTTATACCCACAGGAAGCAACTTGTGCCTGCTTCCAGGGCCCTGTGAACTCTGAGTCTTCTCATGATATTACCCCCTAAGGCTGGTCAAGGTTTCAGTGAGAAAAACCAGAAGTGAGAGCTCACGGGGCCAGCTGTAGAAAGGGGGCCACACTCTGCCTCCCTGTCTCCCTCCTTTTCCGGGGTTGGTGCTGTGACACGGGACTGGATCATGTCCTGGGCGCGGACGATGGTTCCTCTCCAGCCTCCCTGTGCCCATGATGGAAAAACCCTTCAAAGTCACAGCTGAGCCAGGAGCCCACAGTTCTGGGCTCCATGTGGGTTTGGCTGGATATAGGCGGGCTGCCAGAACACTTGTTTTCCAGGTATTTCTGAGCAACAATGGAAAATCCTACCTACCTCAGTCGGTTGTCATACTCGGGTCACTGCCTGTCTACCTGCATGTGTGGTCTCAAGGGGACGGGCAGGTTTGGACCCAAAGAGGTGACCTGGCACCTTAGTTATGGAGCAGAGCATTTACTGAACACCCAGTGTATATTTAACCACGGGAAGGAAAGTAACACTTGGAAGTCTCAAAAGGCCCAGTAAGAAGAAGACCAGGACTTCAGTGTAGGGCCAGCTGTCTCCCAAACTCTGTTCACTCTCTTGACTTCCAGGAGTGCCCAGCAATGGAGTGGTTCAAATGGTTTCTGTTTTAGGGGCATGGTTTAGGAAGCTTTGCTAACTTGTAACTATCAATATGTCAGTTCCTTGGTGGAAACAGGCATGGATGTGCTTTCTGGCATTGTGGCCCCCGGCTCCGGCTCCGCAGGGTTATCTGGTAGTAGACTGTTCTGGTGGGAGGGAGCTGTGAGGCAGGGGCGAAGAGCAGGGTCTCTGAGTGCCAGCGAGGCTCACACTGAATCCCAGGCAAGGCCGAATCACCTCACCTCATAGGTGAGCTGACGGGGACCCTGCTTTGTTCCCTTATCACTGTGCTCTTAGTTTTTATTCTATTTGTTATGCCTTGAATTGTGTCCCTGCCAAATTCCCATGCTGAAGTCCTAACCTCCAGTCCCCTGAATGTGACCTTGTTTGGAAACAGGGTCTTTATAGAGGTTATAAGGCAGGGTCACTGGTGTGCCCCCCCCCTCAATACAGTGGGTGCCCTTAGAAGTGGGGACCATCTACACAGACAAGGGCAGAGGGAAGACAACGTGAAGACCCGGGGAGGGAACACGCTCCCCTCAGGGTCTTGGAAGCCCCCACCCCTGAGCACCTTGGTGTCACACTTCCAGCCTCCAGAACAGAGACAGTAAGTCTTTGTTGTTCAAGCCACCTAGTTTAACACTGGGTTCCTGCAGCCCTGGAAAAGGAATACATCATTCTTTTAATTTTTCCTTGAAATTGACAGTGTCCCATCACCTATCAGATAGAAAAAGTTGTGTTGTGCAGCTCCCGGCTGGTGCTGTCTCCTTCAGATCAGCTGGAGGCTGGTTTTACTTGTGGTGCTGGAAAGCAAGGTGAGAGTGTGGAGAAGCTTGGCCAGAGACCAGAGTTATCAAAGGGACAGGGAAGAGAGATGCAATGGGGGGATGTGGCCAGTGAGACAGGAAGAGGCCACGCGTCTCCGTGGCTCGGCAGTGACTGGGGCTGCCCTGCACGTCTTGCTGAATGCCAGGCACGTGTGAGTAATTACAGGGGTTTGCCCTGGGCACGGCTTCTCCAGCTAGCGTCTGCCTCCCGCTCTGAGGCATGTAATAGAATTAAGTGTGAGTCCGACGCAGTTCTGTGTGGTGACTTATTCGACTAAAAGTCACTCTTGGGATAAAACTAGATTATGGGTCACGGCGGGTGGGCGGGTGCCAAGCCATCTCTGATCATTCTCTGTGGGGCGCCTTCCACATCCTCCTCTTCATTTCCACCAAATTACCCGCGGCTGCCAAAGTGGACCCTGTGTTTTGGATTTGTTATTTAGATTGACTTTGCCTTGGATCCTCCGATGCTGATGTGCTACCATGAAATTATGCAGCAAACAAGTTCTGGGCGTGAGACACTTCCTCCTGTGTCCCTCACAGGAAGAGCACTCACACACACCCGGCCCCAAGCGGCTCTACCTGAATGCTCTCACCTTACAGGGGTGAGGATCCACCCCGTAGGTCTCCAGTGTCTGTGCTTTTCTCAAGAAGTTCAGCTCTGATGTTGCTGGTGTTTGACCACTGGAATAAGGAAAAGGATGATTTTAGGGCTGCGCACTCCCACAGGTACCCCGCCCCGGCCCGAGGTAAATGCTATTAAGAGCCACATGCCTCCCTTTCCACGGTGTGCTCCCTACTTGGTTCTAAAGCCAGAGTCAGAGTCTCGAGTCTAGGCCAGACGCACACGTCTTTGGAGCAAGGCCTTGGAAGGAGTCACCCAGGCTCAGCGTGTACCGTGAGGAGCAGTGGGGACTTGGCGGGCTGGGAAGGGCGGTTTGGTAATGAGCCCAGCCACTCCTCTGCTCTGAAATCACAGTCACAGGAGAGGGCAGGGTCTAGCCTGCTAGATACCGTGCTTTTACACAAGCCGGAAACACTGATTTTGGGGTACTTCACGATTTTCAACTCTGGGACGAACAAAATCCACAGCTGAAACCTATAGATATCATGTCTGTGATCTGGCAAACACAAGACAGGGCCAGGGCTCCGTGCCTGTGCCTCCCACCCTGTTCCTTGACCACTGGGAGTATGGGCGTGGCGAGGCCCGCTGCAGCCTCCTGGAGAGGCACTGCCTCACCCCTTCCCTGCCCTGGCACTGCCACCAGGGATTCAGGGTGAGGAGCCCTAGGAGGCAGACAGGCTCTGCTCACTGTGAGGAGGGCAGGCAGGCTGTGAAGCCAGCAGCAGGGCAGGCTGTGCCCAGGATTGAAAACTGCGCATTTCTGACTTTATTATTTGCCTCCAGGGGTATGGCAGGGCAGGAAGACAAGACCACCAAGAGCAAAGCAGGCCCAAGTCCCTCTGTGTCCCCTGAGGAGACCTCAGTCATATGCCTCTACCTGCTGGAAGACACAGCCTGGGCCCGCAGAGTCGAGAGAGGAGATGCAGACAGATTTCTACACATTGAAGGTGAAGCTAGGAGTTGGGTAGTAATTTCTGCTGACACAGGTCTGTTAGTGAACCCCAGCCCAGGGGGTCCTGGGAAATATTGTCAGGTGGCGGGGCACAGGCCCCCAGATGCCAAAGCAGCATGTCTTGCACGTCTCTTGTTTGGCGGGTGCTGGGCCCTGTGGGCTCATTTCTCCCCTGAAGTCTGCCCAGATCTCCAGGGCCATCAAAGGCAAGCATTTCTTATGGGAATACATGCCTGAACTAGGACTGTGCCCACTATTATGACATCTAAAACAGTCTCGACAGTTGTAGTACACTGTGCCACCCTCTTCTGATTTTTTTAAAAGACAGGGTCTCATTATGTCACTGACCTGTAACTCACAGCAGTATTCCTGCCTCAGCCTCCTGAGTGCTGGGATTACAGGTGTGCAGTATGCTTCTTTGAACCACAAGACCCTACACAGGTTTGTGTCTGTTGGGATTTTTTTTTGAGACGGTCTCAAGCTGGCCTTGAACTCACGCCACTCCTCTTGCCTCAATCTCCTGAGTGCTGGTTTACTGTGTGTATCACCTCACCTGGCCAGCCATTTATTTGGATTTTTGCCACAAGGGGTCACTATTTCCTCACCACGACAGGAGGGATCTGTGGGGCCCGTCTTCCTGACCCGGGAAAGGGGGGAAAACACACAGGATGCCACGTCATGGGCCTTCACTCCCCGGGAGTCAGGGGCTGGTGCTGTTCAGCAGTGGTTGAGGCTCCGTTCCCAAAGGCTGAGGTGGCTTTGGGTCTCACTTGGTAAAACCTTTCTTTGCATCTTCCTGAAGGTATTTTTAGGGGAAACGGGATGGGGGGGGGGAACTAGTTTAAGTTTAGTATTATAATAAATATAGCCAACATTCCTAAAGATTAAAAAGCTAATAAACTCCACTGCAGGGACCTGTGGCTTCATACCACCTCGGGGAGGCGGGGGCTGTGCTCTAGGGTGCTGACAAAGGGCAGCTCAAGTGATCTCTTGTTGCTGCGTAAAACCTGCCTTCCTGGATGGCCCTACGTCAGGGGGCTGAAGGGATGAACTAGTGCCATTCCGAGGTATTCTGTACATTCTGGGGAACTAAGAGAAGCTGGGCACAACGAGCCTCCCTGCTTGAGGCCGTCTCTCCTCTGTGTTCCTTGATGTAGGGTCAGGAGTTCCAGGTGGGTACCTAGGGTGAGTTGTGTGGTGTGGAAGACACAGTCCCCAAAACAACGGGCTTTGGAGGACCCTGCATCTCTAGGTTGGGGCCAGCCCTGTGCAGTCCATACGAAGTCAGTTCTTAACTGTCATAGACTGACTACAGATGTCTGCTACTTTTTACATCCCTGCTCAACTGCTGTCTTTTTTCTGTCCTTCTCCCTCTCTTTTTGTGGCTCTGGGGATTAAACCCAGGGGTTTCCCGATACTACCAAGTGTCCTACCCCTGGGCTACATGTCAACCCCCCCCCCCGCCCCGCTGTTGGGGGTTGAACTAGGACTTTTTGCATGCCAGGCAAATGCTCTACCACTGAGCTGCACCCTTAGCTTCTCTTCCCCTTTCTTTGAAGTCTTTCCTTTCCTTTTCCCTCATTCATGCTTTTCTCCATCTCTATTTATCTTAGTGAAGCAAGCACCTCTGAAAGGCCAGTCCCTCTCAGCTTCCCCTGCAATACAACTTCTCTCTCGCCTTACACTGCAGCCTTCACCATTCTTCCAGAGCCCACAGGGCTTGGGGTATGCGCCCATTGGGCACTGAAAATGGTGCACCCCGGAAATCAGGAAAGCCCGGCACTGTCCTGCTGTGTTAGCAACTACAAGAGCAAAAACACAGCACAGGGCCATGGCTTAGTGTCCCAAGCCTGAAGTGACTGTCACGCACCTGAGTTCTGTCTTGTGGATCTCAGCAATTTTCCTTTCCAGCTTCTCTGAATGTTTAGGAAAAAACTGGAACTTGGAGCTGTAGCCTTCAGGGTGTTTCCCTGGGTCATAGTCTCCAATCTCCGCTTTCAAAAGTAAAGAAGAAAATAATTGTGGAGAGAGATGAATCACTATTGGTAAAGCAAGCAAGAGTCACATACGGAGCAGCATCCGCAGCTGCATCAGGTTTAGAAAGGCAGTGACCTGAGCAGAGGGCTGGGCCCTCAGGAGTGTGGCCACCTCTGTCCTCTCAGGTGTGCCTACTGGACCGATGTTCAAATTTAAGTTGCAAGCAGGAAAGCTGACTTGTGCAGAAGCCTGCACTGTGGTCCTCAAGCTGGTTTGGCAACAGCACTCTGCACAGCAGGGGGAAGCAGTGAGCTAGATCAGGGAGACAGACCCTCCTGGGCCTGAGTCAGGCCTGATTTCCAGGATTTCATCAAGGACAGAGCCAGGTGATGATGTGTCATGATCCAAGAGAACGCCACCCTCTGTCCAAATCAACCCAGATGGATACATTTTAATGTCCATCGAAGGCAAGACTGGTGCCAGCTGCCCAGAGACTGGGGAGAGCGGCTGCACAGACCCTGTGCTGCGCTCAGGAGCACCAGGGGCTAAGGCTGCTTTCTCATGCCTTGTCGGGCACAAGGCTTCTCCTCCAGCCATTCACAGAGAAAGCTCACCCCTAACACAGCTGGGGGGCTCAGATCTGTGACCCTGGGGAGGGCCGTGGGCCTGTGTGTGCTCCTCCCGTGTGTGCTCAGGCCAGAGGCCGGCTTTCCATGCGAAGGCTTCACAGGGCAACTGCCGGGTGTGATAAAGGACAGGAGGAAGTCCCAGCTGCTCTGTGGTTCTCCTCTGTCCTGCCCGGAGGGAGCCAGGCCACTTCAAAGGAGGCAAGAGCACAGGTCAGCAAACACACCTCTTCTCAGGGATAAACACTGTGCTTGGGGCTTGTGCTTTTTTTTAAAAATTACAAATCTACTCATGGTGCCATCTAAATTATGAGGGAATTTTTATTGTATAGCAAAAGACTAAAGCCTTCCCCTGAAATCTTGGATAACTTTTGAACTTTGGAGTTATTTATTTCGATTTTATTTAGAAGCCACCAACTGGAAAATATCAATGTTGGACATTAAAGAAAAAAATGAGAAGAAGAATTTAATATGATTGTTACGTAAGATTGAAGGAAGGACTAGTGTTTAAAATTGCAGTTAGCTCAGACCAAGTTTTCTTTTTAAAAAGGAAAGGGGCATTTTGGGGGACCTTAAAACTATCAAGCACCAGCCAAATTTCCATTTTGTTGATTTTAAAAATAAGAGTCTCAGAAGTCAAATGGTAAGGACCCACTGTCACTTTTTTTTGGTCTTTTTGAGACAGCATCTTGCTATGCAGTTCAGGCTGCCTTGAGCTCACTTAGTAGCCCAGGCTGGTGCCAAACTCGCAATGATCTTCCTGCCTCAGCCTCCCGAGTGCTGGGATTACAGGCGTGAGCCACCGTACCTGGCACCGATTTTTACATTCTTAACACAGATGTGATATTCCTTCCTGCCAAAAAGAACTTCGTTTCTTATTGGCAAACAGTTTCTCTTCACAAAGATGTTTCTGGGAGTTCACAGATGTCCAAATGAGTTTAGATTCTTTGACAGAAACTTCATGATTTTAGTGCTTTGGTCCAGAATGATCCAGTGGTAATGAAAATTTCAGGCAAGGACTAAGAAGTTTAGCAAGTGGCACTTAAGCACCCTTAGCACTTGATGAAAGGAGAAAGAGACATGGGAGAGGTGCATCTCTCTCCTACTGCTTTCAAGGAAAAAGCCCACTTGGACATGTAAGGCACAACTCTTCCTGATTAGCTCGTTTGGAACTGCGCTTGTTACTTTGAAACTTTTCCATATTGAGTGAGCACTCTGGTCTAATGGTCTCTAAAATAGATGCCAGACTGCCACAGGCTTCACATCTTTGAGATTAGTGTAAGAGGCTGGGACTAAATTGATTTCGATTACTCTCTGGAGCATGAGTACTGTTACCAACCAAGGGGACCGGGCAAATCCCCGGCACAGAGGCAGAAGGCCTTAGAAGGCTCATAATGAGGGCTCAGGTAAGGAGGGAGATTCGGAGCTCAGTGCTTTCTAGCTCTAGGGAATCTCGGCAAAATTCTTTAACTTGATTCTGCTTCAAGTTGGATAGTTTAGATTCGAGAAGTAGTCATCTGTGGAACTGAAATAAGGTAATCAGTACTTAGCACGAAAAGTGAATTTATCTTATCAAAAGTCATTACCTTGAAGGATATAAGCTGCTAACAAGGCAGCATCAGACGTTTTACAGAGGAGGCGGCCATGGTAGAGATCCCTTTTGATCTGCAGGAAGACTAAATACCTGGAGAGAAAACAGAGAGTAAACTAGAAAGCATTTCTTTGATTGCTTTAAAGACATAAATATGTAATATAAGCCTATCAAAATCTTTGTCATTAAAAAAATTCTCAAAACATACTGTACAACAAATACATTTTCCATTTCCCTGGAGACTTTTTGTAATACATTTTGCTTTGAACTGATTTGAGGTTCAATTCAAAGCAACTTGTCAGTTTCCTCCTGTAGCTCAAAATAGAAATGGCTCTTGCTTGTAAAAGCACTGTCCTCCAGGGTTGGCATTTGGAAAGAACCAGCCGTGGTCCATTCAGTGCCATAAGAAATGGGCAAACTGGACCTCTTGCTGTCTTGGCCTCTGGAGTGAACATCAGTAGAAAGAACCGGCCCAAGGATGAGCTTGGCCTCAGCTCTTAGAGGGGTCCGGCTGCAGCTACTGGCAACTATTGGCAGAGGCCAACCAGGCCTCTCTGAATCTGGACGATGTGTAGGAAAAGGCACTGGTGAAGGAAGCATAAAAATTTAGCAGAAACCTGTGGCCAGCATCTTTTCAAATACAGAAAGCTTGCCTCAGACAGAGGCAGTGTGTTAAGAATGAGAGCTAAGAGTAGTTGGTGTGTGAGGAGACTTCCTGCCTGGCAGTCTAGCATCACACTTTACATTTAAGATCTCATTTAATTCCATCAGAACACTTGGAGAAATCAATGAAAACTATAGCATAAGGACATCAATGGGCACTATTATTATGCCCATTTCTGCAGCTAAGCTGAGGCTCTTGCGATTTCCTCATGAACTCAAGACTAAGAGGCTGAGCCTGGATTCAATTCAGGACTGTTGGACCCATGATCTGGGCTCTTAATCCCCACACTATTCCACCCTCCTGACACTACAGTTGAATGGACTCAGTCCTGGTCAAATGGAGTAGATGACTCTCCATGGCGAAATGTGCTCATGAGAAGTGTGATCGCTGAAGGTAACAATCTCACTTTCTCTTAAGAGCAGACCTGCGAGATTGTGAGGTGCCTCAAGTCCTTGGGTGGGTCCCTTCCTATGGTGGCTCCTTGGCTGGGGATCATTTGTAGTGATTTCAAATATGTCCCTAAATTCTTTGACCCTCTTTGTTTTCTTTCTTTTGAGTATGGTATGGACTTAGTGGTCTCCTCTCTCTGTCTGTCTCTCTCTCTTTCTGCCTCCCTCTCTCCCTCTGGCCTCTGATCTGGAATGCCTGGGATCTTCCTTGGAGCAAGGGCATGCTTTGCAGATTTCCCCAATCCATGAGGATTTCCAGAAGCAGAAGGAGGTTCCTGATTTTAATTTTTTCCTCGGAAGGTGCTTCTTTACCTTGTATATATTTTTTCTATTAAACAAATAATGCATTCAGGTGTAGCAAAATATACAAGTACATATAAGCAGATTAGTAATTACTTGGCATGGTGCTTTCTGATTACAGAAGATTTTAGCTCCATTTATATTTCTTCATTCTTCTGTTCCAAATTCTGATTTTTTTTATATTCCCCTTTCATACAAATTGCTCAATATTCTGTAAGTGATACTTCTGGTCTGATAATTAGCGTGCATCCTTTCTTTTATTTTTTTCAATTTCAGCTTCACTTATCCCTGAGCTTCACATACTCATTAATAAGACCTGTCAAATGATGACTTCCACATTCCCTTCTTCAACATTAACCCTCCTGGTGTAGCTCTGCCAGCTGCTATCGCTCTCTTGCTGTTCGCTGGGCTTCGGCGGAAGCTCTGATTCTTGTGCCTTCACCGTAACCCTAGGCCCCACCATACCCTGGCAGGACCTGCAGATTCTGAGCCGCTCGCACCAACTGCCTCGATCCTAACAGAAGTGAGTGCCTGCCTTCTGAGGCCTGGCTGCAGAGTGGGGTGTCTCTTTCAGGGCCTGGGCTCTGCTTGAGGATGCTTATTTTGCCCAACAGGAAGGTCTGTGTGGTGAAGAATAGATGCCTTTTGCCAAGAGCCAGCAAGGAACTACAGTCTTTTGCCAACAGCCATGCAAGTGCACCATATCAGAAGTGAATCCTCCACCCCAGTCAACCCTTGCAATGACTGCAGCCCCAGCCAAATCGCTCAGCCAAGCTGCTCTTAACTTCCCAACCACATGAACTCTGACATACAGAATAATTAGGAAAGCAGTACCATTTGCAACAGCATCCCCAAAAGTCACTTAGGAATTAACCTAACCAAGGAAATGAAACACTTCTACAATGAAAACTACAGCACAAGGACAGCAAAAAAAAAAAAAAAAAAAAAAAAAAGAGAAAGATATCCCGTTCCTCGCCAGGCAGAACCAAGAGTCAAAATGGCCACATTTCTAGAACTGTCATACAGATTCAACACAATGCCAATCGAAATACTAACAACGTCCCTCAAAGAACTAGAGGAAACAATCCTAAAATTTATATGGAACTAGAAGAGACCCAGAATTTCAAAAGCAATCCTGTGTAACAAGAGCAAAGCAGGAATCACATCCTGAATTTCAAGTTATAATACGAAGCAACAGTGACAAAAACAGCATGGTACTGGCACAAAACAGACAAGTGGGTCACTGGACAGAAAAGAGAATGTAGAAAAACCCAGGCACAGTTAGCTGTCTGATCGCTGGCGGAGTCAAAACATGCACTGGAGGACAGACAGCCTCGTTAATGAATGGTGCCGGGAGAACTGGCTCTCCACATGCAGAAGAGTGAATCTAAACCTATGTATCTTACCATGTACTAAATGAAAATCAAATGGATCAAAAAACTAAATGCTAAAACAGAAACAACCTGCTGGGAAATAAAATGGGTAAAACTCTTGGAGACACAGGCATAGGCAAGAACTTTCAGAACAGAACCCCAATAACATCAAGGATCAACAAATAAGATTGTAACAAGTTAAAAAGCTTTTGCACAGGGGAAATAATCAACAGAGTGAAGAAACAACCTACAGAAAGGAACATTCCCCCCGCCCCCAGCTAGACAGAAAACTAACATCCAACATGTATAAAGTAAAACAAAACACAAAAAACCCAGACACTTCCTAAATAACAGAATCAAAAAATGGGCAACTGAAATAAATACTTTGCAGAATAAGTACCAGTGTGCAATAAATATGTGACAAAAATGTTCAGCATCTCTTGCCAGTAGAGAAATGCAAATTAAAACAACACTAAGATACTCCAGAAAGAATAGCTGCCATCAAGAAGTCAACTAATAACAAATGGTGGTGAGGCTGGGGAGGAAGAGCTTCTATGTCAACAGGAATGTCAACTAGTATAATCACTAAAGAAATCAGAATGGAGAGTCTTAAAAAATTTAAAACTGGAAATTCTGTTTGACTCAGCTATTCCCTTTCTAGATATCTTCCAGAATAAAAGACATCTATGCACACCCATGTTTATAGCAGCACAATTTATAAGAGCTAAAGCTTGGAAGTGACCTATATGACCATTGATAGAGGAATGGATAAAGAAAATGTGGTATTTATATACAATGGAGAACTATTGTGCCATAAAAAGGATAAATTGAGTCATTTGTAGGAAAATGGATGCATGCTGAGCCCATAATGTTAAGTGGAATCAGACATACAAGCTTAAAGATCACATGGTTTCTCTAAATGCAAAATATAAATAAAGAACAAAATAAAAGATATTAGGAAATAAGGAGATGGATCTTTTATAAATGAGAATGGGACCAAGAGATGTGGGAGGGAAAGGGGAGAGAAAAAATGGAGATGCGTTGGGGACATGTACCAACTCTCCATGAGGAGTGGAATCGCTATGTACTGCAAACATGTACTGATAAAAAGTAAAAATTGAAGAAAACACACAAATGAATGAACAAATAAATAAATGAAACTCGGAGGGAATAAGTACTTGTTGCTTGAAGCTATGTTTTGTGGCGCTGTGTTAGACAACCATTGATGACTGCAGCATCCCCTGAGAAGGTACAGCAGAATTCCCTTAAGTTCCACTGGTCTGGACGAAAAGAAATCAGACCCCTCTCAGGCAGCTGGAGATTTCCCTGGCTTTTGTTTTTAATGTTTTAAGCTTTTTTTTTAGGTTTTGACTTTTTTCAAAGAAAACGATTTTCATTGGTACACTAGGTATGCAGAGCGATCACAACATCACAAAACTTGTTTCTTTTTTCCTCCCATTCCTTTCTTTTCTCTTCAGCCTCTCTTCTCTTCAAAACCTTTGCTTCCATTTTTTTCTTCTTTTCTTATTTTTAAAAAACTTTTCCTTTTCCTCTCTATTTTTGACTTTTTGAGCCAGAGTCTCACTACGTAACTCAGGCTGGCCTTGAACCCATATCTTCCTGCCTCAGCCTCCTGAGTTCTGTGATTATAGCCATGTGTCACCATGTCCCGCCTGCTTCTATTTTTATGCTGAAGAACAAAACAGGATCCTTGCGCACTCAATTATGTAAAACACCCAGAGAAATGACACTCAATGGCCCGCCCGGCAGCCAGGAGCAGAGGAAAAGCTAGTAGGAGATGCTAAGAGCTTTGCCTTAGATCGCTGAGCAATTCACAAGCAGAAGGAGGGAGCAGTCCAGCCCCTCCGTTCCCCAGGCCTGTGCTCCAAGTGTGGCCCACTCTCTGGGGTATTTCCCGGGAGCTTTCTAGAGAGACAGACTACTAGGCCATCTACACCTGTGCTCGTTCACAGGCTCCCCAGGGGATCTGTATACAGATAAAAGTTCCAGCAGCACTGCCCAAGAAAGAGGGTTCAAAAGCACCCTTCTGACCACGGCAGTCTAAAGGGAAGGTGAGGATGGTAGTGCGGAAGTTCAGAACGCTTCCCTGCCCTCCCACCAAACCCGCTCTGGCCCAGGGCTTGCCAAGAAAACTGGAGGAAAAAGATGTCATGCAGAGTGAATAATTAAGATGATCTAGCAAATGTAGCTTGTCTTCACTTTGCTTCCCACAGGGAAATGCCACCCCGTGCGTGGGAGAGAAACTGAGTGCGCACTTCTCTGCCTCTTACTGTCCCAACTCCCACT